AGGATGTCTACTAGTGGCATATCTCATCCAACAGGTCTGCTACCACTCCTCATCATCCCATGCCCTCAGGGCTTTATGATCCTATTAGTTTTTGATGCCCAAATGTGCCATTACATGATTTGCAGGTAGTCCCACTGATGGGACATGGGGGCACTGATGGTGCTGAGCAGACAGCATATCTTGAGCAGGTGTCTTTCCAGCACCTTGGTCATTGTGCCATGTGCTGCCATGCTGTTGCTCACCAGCTGAAAGATGAGCTGGAATGCAAAGCATGCCCAGGTAGGCCATAACTCTACACTGTTCAGCCAGGCACTAAATTGCAAAGGGATGGTAGGCGTCCATTCCCTAAGTTGACAGTGTTGCTCACATAACTAAGAAATGTTGTTGAGGTGTAGATGATCAAGACTGCACCAGGAGTGAGTACCCAGCATAAGTTGGGGAGAAGAGGGCCAACTGTCTCTCTGCTTTGCTGCAGAGCTCCATCACGGCACAGATTGAGGACCATTCTGAAGTGCTTCAGATGGGAGATGATTTTAGTTTGAGAAACACCAGTGGGACAAGACCAAATGGCTACAAATGGGTTATGGATTTTTTACTTTGGAAACAAGGTTTCAAGGACTGAATTGCTGAAATACTTTTCTGAGCCACATATATAGCAGACAAAGAACCTGAATCACTTAAGGTAAAATTGGGTAAGTGTATCAAAGGGTACTTCCAAGGATATTTGGTCATATTACTACGGAATATTATAAAAAGTATCCCAGGGGCATGAAGGGAGAAAAAAAAAAAAAAAAAAAATCAGGAAGGCCAAAAGCATGACTTGAGATGAAACTGGCAAGGGACATAAAAGGCAATACAAAAAGAATCTACAAATATGTGAAAAGTAAGAGGAAGACCAAGGAAGGTGTAGATCCCTTACTAAATGAAGAAGGAAATTTAGTTACAGATGAAGAAAAGGCTGATAATGCCTTTTTTTACTTCAGTCTTTATGAATAAGGTCAACTACCAGATGAAAAGTATAGTTGGCAGCAAAGATAGGGAAGGAGACAAACAGCCTAGAGTATTGGAAAAAACAGGTTAGGGATTACTTAGAGGAGCTAGAAGTTTAGGTCAACGGAGCTGGATGGGATACACCCAATGGTACTAAAGGAACTGACTGAGGTAATTTAAGAACCATTAACTATCCTCTTAGAGAAATTGTGGGGTCGTAGATGATTGAAAAGGGCAAATATATTGTTAATTTTTAAGACAGGGAAGGAGTAGGATCAAGGGAATTAGACTACTCTGACCTTGCTACCTAGAAAGATCATAGAGCAGGTCCTCAAAGAATCTATTTCAAGATCCTAGAGAAGGAGAACAAGGTGATCAGGGACAGCAAGCATGGATTCAGCAAGAGCAAGTCATGTCTGACCAATATAAATTTTTTTTATAAGATAAAGAGACAGGGTCTATGAATGGGGGAGAGCAGTAGATGGGATATACCTTTACTTTAGTGAGACTTTTGACACTGTTCCCCACAATATTCTCACTAATAAGCTACAGGAATAAAGACCAGATGAAAGTGCTGTAAGATGGATACATAACTGGTCAGATCATTATGCTCAACAAGTAATTATAACAAGTAATCACTATGCTCAATATCCAAAATGGTAAAATACAAACCACCATATAAGAAGAAACCCACAGACCAAGATACATAGAACCAGCAGTCACCCTAAGCACACCAAAAGAGCTGTAATATAGAGCCAAGTCCTCCAATAGCACTGAATTTGCACTGAGAAGAATACCCGTGATCATCACCTCACAAATCTCAAAAGGGCTTGCACCCAACTAGGACACTCCTTCAGAGAGATAGATCATACTTTTGAAAAAGCCACCCAGATACCATGTGAAGAATTGCTGCAGTACAAAAAGAAAATCCTGACTAATCGCATGCCATTAGTTATGACATACCATCTTTCCCTGGAACCTATATGGAAAATCCTCAGACAACTGCAACCCATACTAGAAAACCCAATTCTTAGAGAGAGATTTCCAGAACCACCCAACCTAGTTTTTAAATAAGTACTGAACCTTGCCAACCTCATCACCAGAAGCAAACTTCCTATGGCCCAAAGCACACTGAATGGATCCAGACCATGCTGGGACAAGAAATGTAAAATCTGCCAATGCATCTCCACCAACCCCCCACAATAACTATACCCTACAACAGAACCATCATCATTCTTGGATCTTACACCTGCACCTCCAAAAATCTACTATATCTCATCCAGTTCAATAAGTGCCCAGATGGACAATATGTTGGAGAAACCAAACAACAACTGCGTACCAGAATGAACGCACACCAAAAATCTATCAAAGATAGAAATACCCAACTACCTGTGGATACACACTTCTCACAAGATAACCACTCTTTCTCCAATGTCTCAGTTCTAATCTTCAAAGGGAATTTACAAAACACTTTTCATAGATGAGCCTACAAACTTCACTTCATCTTCTTGTATACGACTTCAGAAAGTTGACTCCTCCAACCATTTAAGAGTAGATCCGTCAATATTACTGCAATCTTTCAGACTGTTCACTCCCTCTGGTGGACCATGTAGGGAATAGTCAGTTAGTATATGCTACGCTGTCTGATCTCCTTTGCCACAGGGGCATGATGGTGAGTTTCTAAGGACCACTTTATGTTTGATTTTATTGAAGGCTCCATAGCCTGATCACAGTTGATTCAGGTTTACCCATGCCTTGCGTGGGAGTTTATGAAAACGAGGGAGTGAAGATGGTAGTTGTATGCAATTATGTAGTGTGATAAGGTTGTTATTCCATTGCTCTTCCCGCCCTTTCTGGGGCTATGACGACAGTACAGTTTCTCCTGCTTCCTCTATGATGTATTTGGCAGATACAGGTAGGGATTTTCTGCTTCTCTGACATTTCTGCATTGGGTATTTTTCTACCTTGTCATGTAGTGGATGGTCTTCCTGTTGGGCTTTGATTGCCAAGTCAAGCAGTATTCCAGACCTCTTGATGTTATAAAGAAGGATTCCTACCAAGATGAACGTTTCCCCATTCTGTGTATACCAGACAGCCACTTATTGTTCACAGTGAAGAATCCTGTGAGTAGCTGAGGAGTCCATCTGACAGCAAAACAAAGTATGTCATTGAGACAATTTCAAAACAATTAGAAATTTACTTCATAAATCTACTGGATACAAAACATCATGGACTAAATATAGACACTGGATTTACGGCACATCATAACCTGCCTGGCATCTGATAACCTCAGGTAACCTATCTGCATTTTACCAGCTACATTCTATCATCAGTTCAAACTTCCCCTACCCCACCTATTTGTCTCACACTTATTGTCGTACAGGGCCTCTGTTCCTCATTGCTACCCATTTACATTTTTAAAGACCTGCTTTTTGCATACTGGCTTCCATTCCACCCAAGAGAGCATACAAAGGAACAACAGACTCTTCCTGTGCCTGAAGAAGGGCGTTTGTGCCCAAAAGCTTGCAAAGAACAAATCTTCCAATATTTAGTTGGTCTAATAAAAGATACCACATTTACCCAAAGAACCTTGCCTGTCCAGGTCATATTAACACATGTTCAGTAGGGCTGTGCGAAGCTTTGGTAGCTGAGTCAATTCTAAGGAGATTCGGCCCAATTCGGCAGCTGAATCTCCAAATCCAAATTGAACTGGAAGACCCATTAAAAGGTCCGAATCGACATGGAAGCCTCTGAATCGATTTGAAAAAGATTTGGAGATTCGGAAGGCTTGCAGAAAACAGAAACTGAGAAGAGGGGTTTGGCGGGGGGAAGACTGCTCTGATATTGACATCTGTAGCTGGCCAGTGACAGT